TGCATCTGGTGAACACATGTTCATTCATCTGTGTGCAAACATACAACCAACGTCTAGAAGCACAATGGCTAATTGGGCAGCTGCTCTTGGAGCGCAATGGCCAACTTGCTCAGCGCAACATCCCCAGCTCCTGACCAGCCTTCAGCTCCTTTTTGGAGTTGTAGACCTGGCTAACAAGACTCCTGACTAGACCACTCATGATCGGACCCTCAAGTTGCTTTGCACCTTCCTAACAAGCCTCCAAAACAAACAGCCGCTTTGTTCCTGGACTTCAGGCAAATTGCGGCAGGTTGTATGAGCAAAAGCGCTGCAAGAAGGGAACGTGCCTCTGTGTTGGTCAAAAACACTTACATCTTACGTGGCTCCATTGGCTCTCGAAGTGAAAAGATTCCAGCCTCAAAGGTGCCGGTGCGGATCTCCGGGCCACGGGTGTCCATCAAAATCTGAGGCCGAAAACAATCCGATCCGACACTATCCCTTCGGTACGGTATAGAGTGGTTCATCCCACGGCCCATGGACTGCACCATGCCTTCATCTTGCCCTTGAACTCTGGGGCCAGCTCGTAGGCCTTCTCCAGATTCGCAAGCTTCATGCTCTGCTCCTGACAATTGGCTCAGTGGTTTGCCTACATTTGAGACTTTTTGGCCTAGACAGAACTTCATGTGCACTGGGGCCGCTTTTTGCGGTGCAATGTTCACATTTGGATCAGACGTGGTGCGAGCTGCTTCAAGAGGACAGACTGGTTGATGCAACACATTCAACACATCGGGTGGATTGGTGCTTTGCGAACTGGGCCTCAACGTCGAACACAGGGCAAACCATGTCTTAAAGCATGTTGATACCCAGCTCGTCCTTGGTCTGTCTTCAGATGGGTTGGCACAAACTTGCAATGTCCATGCAAAGAAGCGGTAACAGGCCAATCGCAGCCAGTCACCTACAAAACTGCCAGCGCATCAAGAGCCATGCGTCCTCGTGATCTCCATGAGACATGTTGCAGCGGATCACGTTCATGCCGGCCTTCATCAGCTTCACAAGGACCTGTGGCTCCAGCCATGCCAAATGGCTTCACGAGGGGAAGGCAGTGATAGCTCCCATGTCAGACCAACAAATCCAAATCAAAAAGTGCCGGAAACAAGACAAAACACGAACCACCAACTCCATTCCCACAAATACCCAAGGACCATCCCCAAAGACACACCCATCGAGAACAACCCCCAAACCACATTCCCCAAAATGGAGCCCCGCACGAAGCCATGGATCCGAAGTTGCGGAAGAGCCAAAAAAATGAAATCTACCATCGAACACCCTGCACAAGATCTGCAGACATGGCTTGTAGCGGCGACCTATTTTCCAGCCAAATGGCTTCGGAATCCGCCACCCCCTGGATGCCAAAAGGGGAGCCACCTCTTGCGGCATCACCCTAAAACGTGAGCCCTTAGTGGCCAAGCCGAGCCAGGTGATCCCGGAGAGCCACTCCGGGCTGCACCTTGGTGACGAGGTCCGCGTCATTGATCGTGCCCTTCACCTTGTCCACCACCAGCAGCCTCTCGCAGACCCTCACCTGGAGCCAGAGGTATCTGGCCTGCGCGTGCCTCGCGCGCCCAACTCCGCGGCGCTCAGACATCGCCTTTGCCGCGCTGCTGTCGACCTTCAAGGTCAAAGGCTTGATCGCCCCCGTCCAAAACTCCGCCACGCCCCGCATGAACTCACCCAGCGTAGCCGTCCTGCACACCCCATAGTACTCCGCCTCCGAGGACGACAAGGCCACTGCGTCGTGGCCTTCACCATCAGCGTGCGCTCGCCGTTCTTCACCACTGACCCCGTAGCGCTCCTCCAAGTCCTGCTTGCGGAACACCTTCTTCAAGTATGGGTACTTCACCAAGTACCGCCCTCTTCAGCTTCAGCCAATCATTCTCGCTTCTCACCACATGACCCAAATCCGGCCTATCCTGACTCAGGTACGCCATCCTCATCACCAGCGATCTGTACTCGCCCATCTGCTCCGCATGCAGCTCCGCCGACTGGACGATGATCATGTCCTTCGCAACCTGCTTCTCCTCGGGCATGTCCACGCTCTTCGTCTTGCCGTTGAACCTGAACGCCTTCAGCAAAATCTCCGCGTGCCGTGCGTCCGCCTCCACCTCCAGCTTCCATGCCGTTCCATCTGGTACATACCTGATGAGCCGATTCAGGAAGAACAGCTCCTTGTCATCTCCAGGGCTATCCCCCATCTTCGCCTCCCACCTTGCCGTGTAGCGGGTGTTGAGGATCTTGTCCAGCTCATTCAACTCCTCGTCCGGGAGAGGAGAGAACATGAGGCCGGGACTTGCCACCTTTTCCACCTCCGGTGGTAGGCTTCGACCAGCAGTCCTTCCGCCGGTGGCCCTTCTTCTCGCAGTTATCACACGTCCCCTCGAACCTGACTTTACCACCTCCTTTGCCACTTGCCCTTCACCAAGGACGCAAGGTTGCCCGACACCGCCTTCACCAGCGAATCCACATCCATGCCAGCCCCTCTTGGCTCTGGCCCCCAACCTCACCTCCGCCTTCTCCGCCACCGGGCCCCTCTCTGCGGCTGGGCCCCTCTGTGGCTCGCCCCAAGGCGTCCTCCTCCTCTCCTTCGTGCCGTAGGAGATCACCCGGGCCTTTTCTTCGCCCGGCTGGAGTTGTCCTTCACCAGGGGCTCCGCTACGACGCAGACATGGCTTGTAGCGGCGACCTATTTTCCAGCCAGATGGCTTCGGAATCCGCCACAAATCTGCAAGATCCCTTGACAAGATCTACAAACATGGTTCGGCGCAAGAAGTCTGATCTCCATGAAGGTCTGCACAGGGAGTACTGCTGCAGGATGTCTATAGCATCTTTGCCGGATCTCTAGCAAGGATCTCTGCGCAATGTCGTTTGGCGGACCCGTCACTAGCAGGTCTTCCACGAATATCTGCTCAAAATCATGTGCAGCTCTTAGAGAAGATCACGCCTTTGCGGGATCTTCTACAGCCGGACCGGCTTGGTACGGAGATCTCGTAAAGATCTCGTAAAGAGACCTTGTAGATGTTTAGCAGGCGTGCTTGTGGGCTTGTCTTTGTGAAATGTCATTCGGGGGCTGGGGAAGTCTATTAATGCGCCACTGTCCCATGCCTTTTTCCGGCGCGTGGCGTTGTGCGACTTTGAACAGGCTGCACGGTGTGAAGTTCGAACATCGAACAAGAGCCAGCTGCGCACTGATCGCTCCCGCTGTGGTGCCCTCTACATGCTTTGTGCGTGTCATGACCTTTTGTAGAGCTGCTCCCAAAAGTCCCACAGAGATTCTTCCGAGCGCACGCCAGGAAACAACAAACCCCCCAAAACTCACACCCAAAGACATCACATTGCCCCCGAGGACCCCCCAAACACAGTCCCAAAGACATGCTCAATCACAGCCCTTACAACCAAAACCGCTGACATCCCCAATGACATTCCCAAGACAAGCCCAAAGCATTCCCAAGAACATCTCAAACGACAGCTTCAACGACATCCTTGAAAAGCAAAGCCTGAATGACATTGCCTAAGGACATATCCGAGGACAAAAGCAAACTCAAAGACCTGCTTAGACCCTCCCAAAGACATCCACAATGACGCCCCGCAACACACATCCCCAAAGACATCCTCAAAGATTTTTCCCAAGGACATCCCTAAACGTTCGCGAACCATCCGCGTCAAGGCATATCCCCAAAACCACACCCTCAAGACACACCCAAACGTCATCGACGTGCGCTACACGTTTTCGTCGTTTTGGATCAACTTATATCAACTTAGAAACGCACGAACTGAGTCCGTCGCCTCCGGATCCCAGGACTTGGGCCCAATGGTGCAAATGATGTCAGTCTCCTTCTCCTAAGCTCGATTCATTTGCAGTAGACGAGTTGACGCTTTGAAAGCTTTGAAGGGATACCTCTCAAACCCAGGCAGTCGCTGATATTCTTGAGGGCTCTCTCTCTCTCTCTCTCTCGCTTTGGCCGTCTATCAGCAGTCAGCAGCTTTAGTGCAACGCAGGCTCCTTGTTATTCACGTCTGCAATTTTCTCGTAGGCCGAAGGAAACTCCATTGCGAGCTGCTGGAAGGTTTCCAGCGACTTGCGAGACACCTACAACCACGATGTTCCCCATCACGCATGTCGGCTGACCAAAAAAAGACGCACCATAACATACCTTACCTTAAACTCGCCAGCGTTTTGAGAGGTTAGCTCAGAGAGAAACCACCAGGGGGAAGGGCTGTGTTGACACAAACCCATGTCACCCAGCATGGATCTTCATCATTTGCCCACCTTGGCGCTCCTCCTCTGGGCTCCCATCAGAGCAGCGCCCATCATGGCCGCTGCGACCGGCGCAGAGCTGGACGCAGAGGATGCAGAGCCGGAAGAGGCGGAGGCAGAGGAGGAGGTGACAGGACTGCGAGCCGCACCTTTCTTGAGGCTTTCCAGCCACTGCGGCAAAAGGAATCCAAAAGAAACGGGTCGATCTGGAAAGGAAACCAACAACGTGTACTGATCTGCCAACACTGTTGTGACACGTCAGCAAAACTTTATGCTTTGACTGCAAGGCGCCATTGACGCTACCAGGCGCAACGAAGAGAGGCGCTGTTGCCGCTGCAGCCAGGCTGGCCGCAAGGATGCCTGAAACAAAGAACCATTCATGCAGGAACAATCTCGGCCAAAGGCTCCATATTGCCGCCCTTGTTCCCTTCCCCGGCTCCTGAGCATTGCAGCCAAGGCACCACGCTTCGGGGCAGAGGACATGTTGAGAAGGATAGCAATAGCAAAAATGAGCACTTTCGATGCTGAGAAACGCTGCAGAAAGCACGACAATGTACACAAGCGCAACGCAATCTCTGCAGCTACAACTGTCAACAAGCGTCTCAGCGTCTCTGTGCCATCGCAAGTTCACCCACAGGACAAGAGTTTCAGCCTCTAACGCGTGTAGATGGTTTGAGATTCGTTTCACCTGGCCGCCTTGGGCCGTGACATCCCATAGCCTTGGCCCATGGCCTCGCGGGACGGCCGCCGGACATCTTGAAAAAGAATGCGACTTCCGGATTCTTGTTGGCCCTGTCCAGCACTCCGATCCAAGTCGTTAACGTGAAACCCTAGTGAAAGCAGTTGCCTTGACAGGGTCCAAAAAGTATGCAATTCCTGGGAGCAGGCCTCTTGCATGTTCTGCATGTTCTGCATCGCCTCAGGATGTCAAGTTCAAGAGGCATTCGTTCAAAATTGAAAAATACAATCAGTGCAGGAATCCATGGCAAACGCAAAATGCTGGAATGAGAACGACCTTGAGAAGGCTCCTTTGCAGCCCTGCCTATGACCCGAAGTGACAAACGAGCATGCTTTACGCCAGCTTCGAAAAGCACTAAGGCCACGGCTCCAGGCATGCCCCAGCCTTGCTGGTAATTGTACTGCATGTTGGCCTTATTTTTGCAAAACAAACAACAAGCCACAAGTGCCCAATGCAGTGCATGCATGCGCATACGCGGTCAAGGTTGTGCCTGATCATTGGGGTTCATGTCGCTGCCAACTCCAGCCTGCAGGGCAACATCAAGCCGAATCGGGCGTGGGCGGTATTTGCCAAATGTGCTGCTCTCTGGAATGACCCTCACACTCACACAGTATCACAAGAGCCCTTTACATCAATCCTCTTCAATGCTACATCTCAGTGCGGCACAGCGATTCCAGCTTGCCACGGGCTCCCCGTGGTCCCAGGACCCTTTGAGCCAATGCTGCAGGCCAACCAATCCGTGCGCATCCCAAAATCTGCTGCAAAAGTTTGGAACCGCGCAAGTGTGATACATCACCCTTAAAATCGCCTCAAAGTTGTGGCGTAGCAAAAGGCAAACACAAGAAGGAGCGCCCTAAAATGACATGCAAAGTTGGTTTGTTTGACTATCAAAGAAGATCAGCCTAAGATGCCAAGCCGCCAAGGTCATCTTCAAAGAGCAGGCTGAGGGTTTCACTCAAACAAAATGGTTCAAGCTGGTGACTTGCAGTGCCAACGCCAGCCCCAGAAGCCGAACCATTTAAGCGCGTGTGTGTTGATTCCAATGCAGGATGTTTAAATCCAACTGAGTTTGCGCACCCTGGTTTTGCAATTTGTGCGTTCAAAGTGGCTAAGGTGTCAAGGGAGGCCGAAGGTCAAGTGTTTCTGCTTGCCCGAACAAAGTTCGGAAGAAAAAACTGTCTTCCATCCATCAAATCTACACTATTTTCTCCCATGTCACCATTCGCATAATCGCCGGTCGACCGAAGAGACTCCGTACACATGAACAATAAAAGAGGGCGAACCCACACGAATTCCCTAATTACAGGCAAGGCACATGCAGGTATAACGAATGGGCCAGGTGCAAACATGGCTTAGCCATGTGTTCCCACATGCCCCATTTTGCCGCAACACGCGAACAAAAAGAAAAACCAAGTGAAGGGTCGGAAACGCACAAAGCCAAGAAAGACACCGAGCGTAACTGCACGACCAAAGGTGAGACACTAGGCATCAGCCCACAGAACCAGCAAGACATTGGTGCAGAAAACCGGGCATCCGTTTCCTCAAGCCAAAAAATAATAAAAGCGCGTCTATGTGCTATCGATGCGCCCATCCGTAGAACATGCGGGATTGTTTGAAGCAAAATGGCAGAGTGCCAAGTTGCCCCCACCCACCAACGGTTATGTTTGCACATACAGCCATCCTTTCTCTCAAACCAAAATTGCGCTTGTACATTCACTGTCTGTAATCGAAGCCCTCTGTGCACACCCAAAGCATCAAAGATGGTCGTCGCAGAAACCGAGCATCCATATTCTCGTGCACTGATATGAAGTCGCACCTGCCTGTTCCCAGTCTGCAAAAAGGGGGGCGACCACACCTGCGGCAGAGGTGTCAAATGCGAAACGAATCGAAATTCATTGCAGCAACAGGAGTCCATCCACGCGGCGTGCTCTACCTCGCTTCGTGGCAGCAATACATACAGGCGATTCAGTTCCCACCACTGCGTTAGTATGATACCAAGCAGCAATTGAGAGGAGACTATAACACACAGACGCAGCCTCAAGTGAGTTTGCATCAGAAAACTGGAGCATCACGTAATCGGGTGATGCAACAAGAAAAGTCCCATCGAGGACAAAGAGGTTCAAGCCAACACCAGTTGACAGACTAAATGAAACAGCCAGCACACGGATCGACCCTTACAGAGGTGAGTGTGCCTCACTGCTTCAGGGAAAAAAGCAACCGACCGGAGCAAACGATACACGCTTTTTTACTTGAGCGTTGCTTAGAAGTGCAGGCTCTGAGATGCAGGTGGAGTGACGATGCGCGTCCACTCCATCTTCCTGCATCTCATGCGGAGCCTGTCGGAAGCGTGCATGGGTGTGCATGGGATGCGTCCTCCTCGGGCCAGTCTGGGCTGGACAGAATCCGATGGCCTTCGTGAATGTGCGACTGCGCGCAGCGTGGGCCTGCTGCGTGAAATGGTCCTGCGGGAGCAGCGAGATGCAGTAAGCCAACGAAATGTTGGAAGCTGACAAGCTTTCGGCGGGCGCATGCGTCCCTCTCTCGGGCTTGTGGAAGCTGGATGCCACCTAGGCCGTGAAAAGGGTGGAGCGGGTTCAAAAATGAACGAAAGAGAGTCAAACCCTCCAGGCTTTTTTGTCACGCGCGCGCCTTGGGGCATGAAGCCATCGGTCACGAGAAGGGTCAAACCTCCAGGCATGTCCCTTATAAGGCTTAAAGCAAAAATGGCCACGGCCGAAGATTCAACCAAGATTAAAATAGGGGAAAAGACCTAGCGTGAGAAACTTGGTCCTGCTTCAAGCCTGGGACATGCAGGAAAAAGCAACCGACTGGAGCAACTCACACGCGCTTTTTTACTTGAGCGTTGCTTAGAAGGCTCTGAGATGCATGAGGTGGGAGTGACGATGCGCGTCCACTCATCTTTCTGCCTCTCATGCGGAGCCTGTCGAACACCCCCAAAAAGAGTTCGAAGCAAACGGTCAAACCTCTTTGGCGTTGCATGCAGCCGTGCTCGGTCTCCCGGTGCGTCCGTAGGGAGAAGCGTGAGAGCTGGCCAGAAATCATGTCTGAAGCGCACTCTGGCTCAGGTCGAGCCTGGAATGAGTTAGCTGGTCTGCCCAGATGTTGTGCTCCCGATGTGTGACGCGATCAGGCCATGAATGCTTCTGGGCCCAGGCAGCAACAAGTTGCACAATCAGGGCCAACAAGAAGTGGTGAGCCTGTTTACACCGGCTTCGGAAGCTGTGTTGTCTGTCCCTGTGGGCATGCAAATGCCAGGCACGCCTTGTCTCTCACAGGCCATGCATACGCATGAGTGCTGGCGGGCCAAGGTTTCGAAGCATGCGATGTAACGCTGCTTCTTTGGTCAAGCATGGCCATTGTTCCTGAACTTCTTAGAATTGCCATGTCTCTGCGAACCACAACGGAGCACGCTTCTCCGCAACTGGTGGCACCAGCATTCCTCCTAAGACTATTTGTGGCCACAGCATTAGACGCCAAAGCCGTGCTAGGTAGCAGTGCATGGCATTTTTATGCCGCCGGCTCTTTCTAAAGTTCCAAGGGGCATGCATTCGCACGCAGCCGACTGCCCGCGTTGTGCTGGTCACAATTGGGTGCGCATAGCGGACCCCGCAGAGCACAGGTAAAGGAGACATCGGCAACCCGACAGAAGCAGGCCTGTTCACTGGGCACCTGATCTGCTTCGCGCTGCTTTGAAATCAAAGCTTGTCTCCACAAAGGACAAGTGTGGGGAGGAAAGCACTGATGCGTTTGGGAATTGCGTATTTGGGGTCACCCCACACGCTGTCTAGACTAGTCGTGGGTCTTTGCCTTCAGCATGACGACGTTAAGCTTCCCCTGCTATGCCTTTGTGTCAATGCTGTCTGGCTTGTCGAGGACATGTGACCCATCCGTTTGCAATTTCTTACCTTTCAGCCGCGTCCCGCCGTCAAGTGTGGAACAATGCGTTCGGCACCTTTTAGTTTTGGCGCCCGTAGCACCAGACCCAGTCAATGGTGTTCCGATCTCAGCCGTGCATGTTTTGGCCAGCGCGATCATTGCTTCGGAAATGCCGTACACCCAGATTTTTAACCAGCGTGCGGTAGCAGCTACAGCCACTACCGGCACCGCTGTTTGGCTGTACCCTCCCAAGCTTTTCCCGGAGTCAATCAAGACGTGTAGCTGGGAGTATTCCATGCGGTTTGTTCATTTTTCTTCTCAGCTAGGCCTAGCCGGGATATTTCGCACCGGCATCATCATGCCAACTTCGGCTGAAACCTTAGCGCTTGACTCTGAAAATAGTCCCAGGTCGGCAGGAAATGCCCATTAGGTTTTTTCTGTAGAGTCTCGACCGAGTGCTACCATGAGCGGAGTATCCTTGACTTTTTGCTTGCGTGCTCGGAGCACCCCAAAAACACCACCAATGTGGGAGTAACGGGGACTGTGTCCGGCACTCATTACTAAGCGGGTGCACTTGAACGGGTGTTCTTACCATGTGCCTGGCATGATACAGTGCTAAGCGGGTGCACTTGAACCTAAGCGGGTGCACTTGAACGGGTGTTCTTACTGTGTGCCTGGCATGGATACATTGCCAAGCGGGTGCTTCTTACCAACAGTTGCCGATCCATTCCATCCAAGGATGATGGAGGGCTAGTTGTTCAAGACCACAGGCAATGTGTCCGTCGATCATACAGGTCGCGTCAGCGAAAATAGATCCATCACAGCCGTGGTAGATCAGCAAGGGAATGCCAGCAGAGCCATTCATCCCACGCTGACGTGTTACGCAAGCATTTGAGAAGGGAACGGTGTGGCGCTTCTCGAATTTGAGTACTGGGCAAGTGAAAAGGCACCAAAATGTGTCTGTACCGGCGGATCTGACTTTTCAGCCACTCCCGAATTTCTCGAGAAAAGGATCGGTGAGCCATGGGCTGAAGAGAAAGGGTTCCAGCATTGGAAGGCCAGGTCATCTGCCTATAATTGGCAACTTGTTTCAGCAGTTGCGAGAGCGTAAAGGCTCTTCCAGAGTCAGGCTAAGCCTGATGACTGCGTACACTTCATCATTGACATACCGAGAGGACCGAAGTACTGTACAGGCACGGAAGCTAGCAAGTGTGTGGCTAGCTACATCAAACAAGATTTCCCACGCTTGCTTTCTTCGTATTGAGAAGGCAGCGGGTTGGCTGGAATAAAAAAGTCGCTTCCTAAGTTTGCGCCATAACCGGAGACCATGTGTTGAAAATTCAGTCAGGCGTCTCCTTTTCTTTGTGGGTCGGAACCCTAGCGCAGTGCGTTTCAAACGTGTCAGAATGAATGGGTAATTTAAAGTGGGTTGCCAAGCATCAATGAAACAATGCTCGGAGATCCAAGCGGCTCGATAAG